CAATGTGTCAGAGCCAACTTCGACCACGTTTTTATTTGAACGCTCGTTAGATATGATGACACTTATCTTTAATAATAATTTCTAGCACTTTGGACAAGTAGGGAACAATAGCGATCGGTCTATAGTTGTCTGTGATATCATCAGTGTCGCCTTTTTTAAACATAGGAATAATTTTAGTTACTTTGAATGCATCAGGCCAACACCCATCTTCAATGCACTTATTGAATAGGATAGTCAAAGGCTGTGTTATGTATTCAATTATGGATTTTAATATTTTGATATTTATATTGTAGCAATCTAAAGTATGAGATTCTTTTTATTTCAATATAGCCTCATTTACGTCGGATTCAAGTATGCCTGACATAAAAAAAGAAAAATGTGGTTTACATATATTTTCTAAGTAGGTATTAGAATCTGAATTTAATATTTTAATAGAATTATATATGACATTTGAAACATTAGCAAAAGAAAATGATTAAAATCATCTGGAATAATAGAAGGCGCTGGAAAAACAATTTTGCATTCGGTTTGTTTGTAATTGTTGTCACCTTTCAAGTTTTACTTATAACAAAATGAATCATTTTAATGAAGAGGTTGATATATTGCAGATTTATTATAAATGTAGGTAGAAAAAAGAGAGTGTCAGCTTTACAATTATATCGACAACGTTTTCCTAATAGAATTTCCCCTAACAGAAGAAAGTTTAGTAAACTTGAAGCAAATCTATAAGACAGTATGGAACGCTAAAGAAGAAAAGAGTTTCTTTCGAATATGCTTCCAATGAAAATCAAGAATTGGATTTACTTTTAAGTGTGCAAGAAAATTCGAATACTTCCATATTCCTTACAAGGTGAATTTGGTTCAACATCCTCATGAAAATGGCNGACAATTTTATATACAAAAGTACATGTGTCACAAATAAAAATCAAATATAAAAAATATAAAACGGAGACAGTAAGTGAATATGTAAAATTCATTGCGTTAAGTTTGTGTTGAGCGAATCTACTTACTAAAATATTATCAAGTTTCAAATCCAAATTGTTTTTTTTAGCTATGTCAATACTGGATTTCAGTACAATCAGATCATCAACATGCCTTGTATTATAATTATGATTATCATAATTGTGTCTAAGCTCCTTTATGTTACGGTGAGTGTTGACTATTAACTCTAGTATATACAAACAGGGTAATGGAAGAATTTTTAATTTTTTTAATAATGGCTGACAATGAGTACTTGGTGAAGACTTTCTTAAACGACGTTGAATTCCCCCAAAATAAAATCCCGTAAGTCAAACTATTTATTAGAGAGAAATAAACAGATCTCAGATTACTATGAGGCAAGCAATTTTTAAGTTTTCTTAATATGAATATTTTAGAAGATAATTTTGAGCACAAAGTATCAATGTGAGCTTTCTAACTTAGGTGATCGTCCAGCATTAAACCTAGCAGTTTCACCGGCGTAGAGTTAATAGTTCGTCTATTGGATGTGAACTTCATGTGTTGAGTTTTAGACTCATTTAACATTAGTTTGTTTGCTGAAAACCAATGAAAACCAAGCTTTATCAAATAGGGAAACATTAAAATATGTATCACTACTTGATAAGTTCGTAGTATCGTCTGCAAATAGTACACAATGATCGTCAAGAGCACTGGGAAGGTCATTCAAATAAACAAGAAAAAGTAGAGGCCCCAAAACAGACCCCTGCGGTACACCATTATTTATAGGAACAATGATAGAGTTTTTACCTTCGCAGCAAATAATCTGCCTCCTGTTTATAAGATAAGACGCGAACAAATTTATTGCATTGGACCTCACTCCATAGAACTCAAGCTTACGAAGAAGTATGGCAGTAGACACTGAGTCGAAAGCTTTAGATAAGTCACACATGATTGCTTCGGTTGTAAGGCCTTGATTAAAGCCGTCAACAACTGTACCAATTACGTCAGCTATTGCGCTAATTGTTGACTTATTCTTGCGAAAAACGTACTGCTCGCCAGAAAGCAACTGCTTAGATTATCGATATGATGACAACTTATCTTTTATAATAATTTCTAGCTCTTTGGACAAGTAGGGAACAATAGCGATCTGTGATATCAGTGTCACCTTTTTTAAACATAGGAATAATTTTAGTTACTTTAAATGCATCAAGCCAACACCCATCCTCAATGCACTTATTGAATAGGATAGTCAAAGGCTGTGTTATGTATGCAATTATGGATTTTAATATTTTGCTATTTATATTGTAGCAATCTAAATTATGAGATTCTTTTAGTTTCAATATAGCCTCATTTACGTCGGATTCAAGTAGGTATGCCTGACATAAAAAAAGAAAAATATGGTTACATATATTTTCTAAGTAGGTATTAGAATCTGAATTGGATATTTTAATAGAATTATATATGACATTTGAAACATTGGCAAAATATTAAAATCATCTGGAATAATAGAAGGCGCTGGAAAAACAATTTTGCATTCAGTCTATCACATATCGGTTTGTTTGTAATTGTTGTCACCATTCAAGTTTTACTTATAACAAAATGAATCATTTTAATGGAGAGGTTGATATGTTACAGGTTTATTATAAATGTAGGTAAAAAAAAGAGTGTCGCAGCTTTACAATTAGGTATATCGACAACGTTATCCTAATAGAATTTTCCCTAACAGAAGAAAGTTTGGTAAACTTGAAGCAAATCTAAGACAGTATGGAACGCTAAAGAAGAAAAGAGTTTCTTTCGGATATGCCTCCAATGAAAATCAAGAATTGGATTTACTTTTAAGTGTGCAAGAAAATTCGAATACTTCCATATTCCTTACAAGGTGAATTTGGTTCAACATCCTCATGAAAATGGCTTTGAACAAAAAATACAGTTTTGTCGTTGATATTTAACTAATGCAAATAATACCTAATCCCAACTTTCCAAATGATTGTATAGACAGACGAAAGTAATTTTTCTAGCAGCATGTTTAACCGCAATACATCATACCACTGGAGCCATGATAATTCTAGAATTATAAGAGAAATTTTTTTATTTTTATTTAATTAATTTCATATTAATGTGTGGTGTGGTATACTAGGTTCAAAAATATTAACTGGTGAAAGGCATAACAATTGTTTGAGAGATCAGTTACAAGAGTATTTGGAAGAATTAACTGTTAATAATGCCCAGATAAACATTATTTGAATGCTATATACATTTTCCTATACCTTAACTGTTTTAGACTTGCTTCAAGTTTACTAAATTTTCTTCTGTCGATATAATTATAAAGCTGCAACACTGTTTTTTGCATTCATAATAAACCTGCAGCATATCAACTTCAATAAAATCATTCATTTTGTTATGTGTTAAACTTGAAAGGTGACAACAATTACAAACAAACCTATATGACGGATAGCAGTATGCAAAATTGTTTTTCCAGCGATTTTAAAAGCGAGCACCGTAAACTACAGTCAAAGGCTGTAACTTTTCTAATGTTTTCTCAAGAATTTCGTTTGCAAATACATACAAATTTTATATGGTTAGAAACAAAATAAAAAAATCAATCAACACGTGCAAAAATACAATCCTATTTAAAAAAAAAATCGAAGACCTCACCGCTCATCTACAGTGTGACAAAATAAATGTGCATCAATATAAAGAAAATAACGTCCCATTTAAAAATATATATACCTACATGATGTCCAAAAATGGGTAACCGAGTTAGAGCTTAAGACCTTTATAATAAAACAGATTGTATACGCCTAGTATGAAGATAGAACAGGTTTTTTAATTTATTTCTTTAAGTAATATATCTAAGATTTGACCAATTCCGAATTCCCTTCTCCTTATTCATCTTACCTATTACTATCTACAACAATTTCATCCAGTCGAAGATAAGAACATTGATTTTGATGTCCTAGACTTCTAATATTAAAATAAGTGAATAAAATAACAAAAAAACTTGTTAAATTTGCACATTTGTCATATTTATAAAACAAAAACACTTCGATGTGTCCGCACCATTTGCCGGTTATACCTACTCATTACGGTTAGGTATAATTATTTAACATCTGCTTTTTTCTCATTACAGCAGTTAAAACTCAAAAAAGTGCCAATTTCAATACGAGTCCTTAGGCATTACTTACATGCGTCAATCAATTTATAAAAAAGTGATATCATTATCCGTAATTTTATTCATGCATGTGTCCTTAAATTAATTTAATCTCTTATAAATTGGATTTGGAGTCAGCAAAGTTATATTAATGCCTCAACTAGACAAGAAGTTTTTTTAATCATTTACAATTAAGAAATTTTTATATAGGCTTTGGACAGGAACAGAAGATACAAATGTTTAACCAATTACATTCTTGAAATAATCAATCTAGATGAAAAAAATCCAATCAGGAATGATTTGCAAAAAGTTCAAACTGTTATATCCAGTTCCGCAGCTTTTTTTATATAGAACGTAAAAGTTTGGAAAACTATATCCACTCTGGCGTCATATAAATATAATTATCACCTCATCTATGAAACGAACATAACCAAAGATCATAAAATATCCCAGATCCGAACGAATCCCCACCCCGGACTAGCATAAGGGTTATTAAAATGATTTATCCCGAACAACTAGTGTGCATAAAATGTACTAAAACAGGCAAAACAACAAGAACAGCGTAATAGAACGGCACCCCACAATAGCACAGCTTACTTCTCTTCAGCCTAGCTTTATAATGTAACCAATGAAAAGACCTTAAAGCATAAAACTGTTTTCCTAAATACTCAATCTAATAAAATCTCTTTCAAAGTCCTGCCCATAAAATAAATACAAGAAGACAACATACGTACGCCTAGCGCTAGTCGAGCCAGGCGATTGGGCCGCCAATTATTGGATTCACCCTTGCATTGGTCGAAAACTCCGGGAGGGGAGCTTTACGGAGGTGGGGAAGACAACATGGCTGATTTACTGTCGGTTAGTAAACTGAATCACACTTCCAGGTTAGTTTAGCAGAACACCTCTCGGGGAGAGTTGACTGACAGATAGGCTCGAACACCTGTTAACGATTCCTGATTAAAGGTCTGTTCACACCTCGGAGAGGGTTCGCAAACGGTGAAAATTAGACAAAAAAAAAGAAGTTTTGTGTCCTGATTTCTCGTGAACAATTAATACTGTGTTCATCATCTGCAGTGAATGGTGGTCTCAATCACATATCTTTAACTCTACGGGTCTCATCTAAAACTCCAGTGACTTTGTAGTGACCATATTGTGACTAGTTCGTCAGAAAGATAGATTAAAAAGGACCCGGTGACTTTATAGTGGCGTATCTGTGACCAGTTTGGCTTTGCACCAGGACAAGACAGACCAAAGAATTATCTTTTGCCAAAGTGTTGGGTGTGGGCGAAAAAGTGTCTAGTACGGTGACTGGCATGACCGTGCAAGACGAAGCCAGGGCCATGCCGCAAACTGCAGCCACCAGATCTCGGTTCATGATCACGGACATCCTCAGTGGACCAGCCGATGGCGCCGCCATCATCAGGGGCAGATCCCCCAGTCCGGGACCCAGAGATCTCTCTCTGCACTCGAATCCCGTTCATGACAGTGACACAGACAGTTCCGGTCATCCTGACACCTCCAGCATCTGCTCAAGCGGTAAGTGAAGACATTCCTTCCATTTCAAAGATAAAGGCAATGTGTTTCCTTTGATTGAAGGTAAAAGTTTTGAAATGTATCACGAATTTGCTCTTCGGATTAATACCAGAACCTTCACCAATGTTTATAAAGATATCTGATCTCAGAATTGTATCTTTAGAGAAACAATCCATTGCAAAAACATATCAGATTGTCTAGCATAATTTTTTATAAAACTTCGGCAATTCGGTCTTGAACAATCGAAACTTGAAAAAAATTTGCTTGCTTTGCACATAAAGTAAAAAAAGTGGATATCAAATGACAATAATTGTTGAACAAGTGGTCTTTCTATATTTTGGTTATGTTATATCCAATAATATCGTGTACCTAACATAAAAACAAGTATTTTTTTAAATCAGTTCAACCATGACTACTAAGATCATGGATAAAACAGATAACAAGGTATATGATTAAGAGAGAAACTTTCGAAAATTGAGTGTGATGGGATCTAGGTACCTATGTATCTGCAGTTCTCGACAACTATTACATTGTGTCCATAGCATCAAATCAAACAGTTGGGATTTTTGGTTAATCATGAGTGAAACAAAAACAGAACGTTTACAAGTAAAGAAAATCTGGTAAAATTGTGCAAACCAGTTTATAATTATTTTCATGCGACTTTCGAAAATAGAATATGTGATACGCACTCGTTGATATACATGTAACGCAAAATGACATGCCGTTTGATATGTATCTACGTGCAGTTCACGATAGCTATTACATTGTCGTAATAATTTGTGATTTCAGTTCCTATGTAATTTTCCGTAATTTTATGAATGAAATTTTGAGGAGTAAACCATCAGATGAACTGATCATGCTTCATTTCAGTAATATGTATGTTTAACTTGCATGTATGCCCATTTTTAATGGCTACTATAAATATAGTTCTGAGTTTGAAGCGCGGTAAATTGGTGTGTTTATTTTGACAGGATAGCGGGATCCTTTCATTCATCAAAAAGTTGCTGAATGGAGAAATTATGATTATTAAAAATGTTACACACTTTTGGGATTCAACAATCTGTAGACATGCTGTTTGTGTCACCATACACAGTACATTATGAGTATAGTCATTTTGGGTATTTCACTTTACACAGGTCAAATTGTCAACGTTTCTGCTCTTATTTTTCTTGAATATCTTGTGGTGAATTTAGTGAGAAAACGTATCATTCCATTACATAAAATTTGCATATAGGGATTACCAGAAGCTCATCAATAATCTACTTTACTCTCATATAGTTCAATTTTCTGGATTAGTTACAGTCGATGGCAAATCAACGAATATAATAATAATAACTTATATAGTAAATAGAAAAGTAATAAGATATCAGACAAAATAGATACGCAAGCGAAACAATTATATGAGTGTAATTAGGTACTAGTTATTGAGAATTAAAAAGAAAGGCTTTATATTTTTTTTGAAACAACTGACTGATAGCGATTTGAGAGGCAACGGTAGGGCGTTGTAAATTTCTGGCATATTGTAACTGAATGATCTTTCAAATGTTGCAGTTTTATGTGAAGGATGGGTTAAATTACCTTTAAATCTGGTGTTTAAATTATGAACGTCAGTTCGGAATCTGATTATATTGTACAAATATTGGGAGGATTTATTTAAAATGATAGTCATAAAGAGAGTAGCACTGTGATGTAGACGGGTGTTTTTCATATCCAACCATTTTGTATTCATTAGCTTGTGTCTTACTCGATTTCTCTTTCTAATACCATATATAAATCTAAGGCAATAATTTTGAATTCGTTGAGATGTCGCCTGAGCTAAACATGGACCATAAACAGTATCACCGTAATTAAACACAGATAAAACCAAACACTGGCAAAGTAAAATTTTTAGCTTTCCACTTAAGATATGTCTGGATTTGTATAACATTTTTAAATTAATAATAGATTTTTTTACACAGTTTGATATATGTTTATTGAATCTAAGATCGCTGTCAATAGTAAGACCCAAAACTTTAACTTCATTTATACCTTCTAACTGAACATATGTTAACCTCGGGTAATAGTTGGGCATATTTCACCCGACTAGCAAAAAGCAAAATAACACATTTTGTGGGGTTTAAACACAAAGAGTATTCCAGTGAAATTCGACGAAGTGTTTCGAGTTCACTATTAATTATAATACAGCTATTTTGAATATCATTAGGATGAAACGAATAGAATAGTTGAATATCATCTGCATACAGTTGAATTTTACAGTGCTTTAGAAAATTAGGGAACGAGGATATATACAATGAGAACAACGTAGGTCCCAATACGGATCCTTGAGGCACTCCACAATCAGTATTAATATAATTCGAAATATCGTTTTTAAGTACTACCCTTTGTTGTCTACCTATTAAATAGTTAGAAATAAATTGTACTGCAGATATATCAACACCAGCAAACATTAAAATATTTTCCAAAATGTCACGACTAATTGTGTCAAATGCTTTCTAATAGTCGAGTAAAACTAAAATCGAACATAATCCAAAATCTGTAGCCGTAAAAATATGGTCTGTGACATTTAATAAAGCAGTAGAACAGCTATGTCCCTCTCGAAAACCAGACTGTTCAATAGGCAGTATGTTATTAATAGTTAAATGATTCATAATTTGATCTTTTACAATGTACTCTAAAATGTTAGATAAAGCAGGAAGAATAGAAATAGGTCTTAGATCTTTTAGTTCTCTAGGTGTGTTTTTTTTTTGGGAGAGGAATAACATTCGACATTTTCCAAGCATGGGGATAAACTGAAAATTCCAAGCATTATATCTACAGTTGTTGAAACATCTATTCCGACTTCAAATGCGGCGGCTGCCTTTAGAAAGAAAGGTGAAAAATATTTTTTTTAACGAAATAGCCTAACTTTACACCTAAACTATAAAATTAGTGTTTCTGAATTTCGATAATTGATAACCAACAGATGTAGGATTTCGAAACATCTAAAAGATGTGACTTCCACTTACAATAAACAATTTTATTCTCTTCGAATCACACCTTCCACTCCCATCCACCTCCATTATTCATATCAATTCATTGTATATTCATCTCATTATCCATAATTTTAAAATCATACATATTTCACTACGTAAAACAATGGACGTGTTCGTGCACAAACTACGTTCAACGAGTAATTATAAAAATCATGTTAACAGCACAGCCGACTATGCTAATTGTTTAATGAAAAGTGATACTGAAAGAGATAATGCGAGCGAAGGCATACGTGAATATACGCAGTCGGCAAAGCAAAAAAAAAAACGATAAACGCAATTATAATTGCGATTACGCCGATCCATGGAAAAATCGGGATAATCCTCCTACCCGAACTAATTAAATACGAACAACCCGAATGAGTTACCCAGTGGTTTAGTATAATAGTGTTGCGTTATTATAATATATGCGGCATGATAATGGTGCGTATCTGATGGTTTATTTGAACACGGCCGACAGTCATTATTCTAATAATCGACTATAACTTTCATTTTCATAAATAAATGGGTTTCTAAAATTGGTTAAATATAAACTGAACGCTTCCTCTATTTATATAATGTTTGCGTGCGGGCAACAAAGCAAAGGAAGTGCAGATTCTGCATTTTTAACATATAAATTGTATAATACAATAAACATTTCATGCTCCGCGCGACGTGCTTCCATGTTCTATATATTTCAGTTATATTTAAAAAATAATACCCGCGAAATATATCACAGATCTGTAACAGCTCCAACGGAACTACCGGTTATTTGGTTTTTTTAAATAATAGTTTTGGAATATTTTTTACAATAATTTGCATTTTATGAAAATATATGGGCATAATGCAACTAAGTGTATCACTAATTAATTATCCTAGGTATGTATGATTTGTACCAAATTTGGTTCGAATATTTCCGTTAGTTTTAAAAATATAAAAATAATAGGTACATTTGTACATGTAGGTATTTTTTAACCCCATTGTTTTCTAAAGTAGATACCATACCCTTGCATTCACTGAGTGTTTTCAAAAGTTGGGTTTTTATTTTCTGAGGTTATACCTAGTTCATGTCAAAATAATACGTTTCACAAAAAACAACTTTCATAAAGATTTTGTAATAACAGATATATTTACATTTAGTTAATTATGTTTCTGAGGCCGGTTCTGTAATTATTAATTACACATTCCTAGTACCACCCGGAAATAAACCAGTGTTTGCTATCATTTCTAACGTAATCGCCCTTTGACATTTTAATAATCGTTTTCGTTCTATGTTTTGGTTTGACAATGAGTTGTTAGTGCATTGCGTCAATTTAGGTGTTAGTGAAACTTTGTTGTGGACGATGTCAGTATTTTAACAAACTTTTTGATTTTTTGGTAAATGAACCTATGGATATGATTTTAATTTATGGAGAATGTCTTCAAAATTATGTGCAGGCATCTCGAATGCTAACCTTATAGGATACAATCCACATCACAAAGATTTATTTGTTTCATTAAGTCAGTATGTTATAATGATTATAACGAAACACTACAAGAAGACGACGGAAGACATTCCAGATGATCTCGGTCAAGTCGTATGTTACAAATTGAGAAAGAACAACCACTAGCTCCATACAAACTACTTGTGAGATTAATGCATGCTACAACCAAGTTTGAAAAACTCTAACGAAAACCAAGTGTACCAGAAGCTAATTGCATTGCTGTAGCATTGCAACCAGAAGCTGATCCTCTCGGCGAGTTTTTATTAGTGGCTATTTAACTAAAATAATGAAGATAGTGAAGATGTCACAGAATATGTGTTGATTACCGACACGGAAGCGTTTACATAGATACGATAATATCTATGAAAAATCCCTATGTGGTACAAAGAACGAATTTCCGATACAGATGGAACTTATGGACAGAGACTGTTACTGGTATTCTAATTGATCCTTCCATTCCACTACAAGATTCAAATGTGTGTTAGTAATTGATGAAGGTTATACAGAACGT